TCTTTATGGTATTACGATATGTTTCATTTTTCTTTGTCATTGTATTCTATTAGATAAGTCTTGTCATATAATACCTTGCACGTCACGATTGACTCAATCGTAGCAAAGGTACATGTCTACAGCCCTTTTTCATGTCGCCATGTTTAATTTTTCTTAGTCATCTTATTCTATTCGCTAAATCCTGTCATATTACTTATCGCACGGTCCTATATATTAAGTCGTTTATGCACTATACGCTTAAAGTCTTCTTGAAAATTTACCTTCTGACCTCCGCCATTTATTTACTTCTTGACCTACCGTCTATTTCACACCCCATGACGTTACGATCCAACCAGCCGTTCTTGAGCTGAATGACGTCAGATTGTTAGTGAAAGGGGCTAGCCCAACCGCCACAAGTTCTATTACAATTTATACAAATTAAGATAACTCTTTTTTTTTTTTTTTTTTTTTTTTTTGGGAAATGGGAAAAAAAAAATGGGAAGTCATGCGGACCACAAGGTATACCAAATGAATTATTAAAACATAGCCCACAAGTATTACGGGAATTACTGGCGTATGTCTTCACCTTATTCTATAATGGACACGACTTACCACCGGAGTGGACAAAAGCACATATTAAAAACATATACAAAAAAGGAGATAGAAAGAACTGTTCAAACTATAGGGGGCTAAGTGTCATAAATTCACTCTCAAGACTGTATGGAAAAATAATAAAAAATAAAATTGAAAAAGAGATGACAGATGTAGAAGAACAGAATGGCTTTCGGGCAGGCAGATCCTGCATGGACAGTATATTCTCCTAAAGCAAGTTATCGAAAAAAGATTAGCCCACAACCTTTCAACTCATATAGTCTTTATAGATCTGACAAAGGCATACGATAGTGTACCACTTTCAATGCTTTGGGTAGCAATGGAAAAACAAGGAATAAGCAAAAAAAATATACAAGCAGTACAACAGCTCTACAAAAATATGACGGCAAACATTAAAACTGGAAATAGATTAACTAGAGAAATTCCTATTAGTAAGGGCCTAAAGCAAGGCTGCTGCATAGCACCTACACTCTTCAAAATATATCTAAATGAGGCACTCTCACTGTGGAGAAGAAAGTGCTGCAATATGGGCATCCCAATCGGAGATGATAGATTGTACACGATACATTTCGCTGATGACCAAGCCATTCTAGCTGAAGACGAGAGTGATATAAGCTTCATGCTTAGAAAACTGGAAAATGAGTACACCAAATGGGGCCTCACAATTAATATACAAAAAACTGAGTACTTAGTTGTAGGAGAACAACCAGAAAGCCTACAAATAGAAATGGGAACTATAAAACCAACAGACAATTTTAAGTACTTGGGAGTCCAAATAACATCAAAAGCAGGAAGTAGCGAAGAAATACATTCCAGGATTGGCCAAGCAAGATCAGCCACCAGACAGCTACACGGACTATTATGGAATAAAAAAATAACAAAAGAAAATAAAAGAAGAATTTATAAAACAATAATAGAAAGTATTGGACTGTATGGCGCCGAACTCTGGGAAATAAACCAAAGAAACAAATCAAAAATTAAGGCCATGGAAATGAACTACTGGAGACGATGTTGCCAGCTCACTAGACTTGATAGGGTGAGAAACGAAGATATTCGGAGAGAAATGGAAATCGATGTAGATATAATAGACACAATCGAAGCCAAAAGACTTAACTGGTATGGACACCTTCAGAGAATGCCGGAAAATAGATGGCCAAAAAAAATAGAACAATGGACTCCGCCAACTAGAAGAAAACGAGGTAGACCAAGACGATCCTGGAGAGACGATGTCGACGATGCAATGACCGCCAGAGATCTAACAACTGAAGATTGCTTCGACAGAAAACGCTGGAAATTAGGATGCGAGAAGCGGCGCCAGCTGTAGAAGACTCGCTTGTTATATATATATATATATATATATATATATATAATATATATATATATATTATATATATATATATATATATATATATATATATATATATATATATATATATATATATATATATATATATATAGATAACTCTATTTCTTTTGGTTGTATAAAACTTTCTTTTAATCGTTGTCATAACTTCAGCTATAAGAATCAATAGATTAAAAATGTGTGTAATATATAGGGAGCCCTACAGCTTAAGTCGCCCCTATTCCAAAGTAATAAATAAGAAGTAGAAACATTTGTTAAGCAAATATTTTTATTTCTACATAAACATATTATCCACCAAGAGAATCCGTTCAGAATTAGATCTCTATCTTTAAAAAAATAAAGAAGTGGCCATGCAAAATTTATAAACATTTAAGAATTGTTATAAGCAAATAAACATATCTCGAAAAGGATCTGACGAAGTCTTATTTGATTTGTAATTAAAAGAGCTATACTATAATGTTTTTCATAAATATATAAAAAGTAATTTTAGAAAAAGTTATTTCAAAAATAAAAAATGAAACAAATGGACATTTTTGAATCTTCACTTTGCATAAATCATTGGGTCAAATTGAATATAGCATAGCTCAAATATTGATTTGATACAATAAAAATAAAAATAATCGAAAACGCCGTTTTTGCACTTTCAAAGTGCCATAAAAACCAATAGTTTGGAGTTGCACGCACTTTGAGGTTACTTCAGGCATTGCCCTTCATAACCCTGTTCGATTTCAAAAATTCACTAATTAATTCACGTTTTTTTCTTTGCAGCTTGGGCTAAGTCCAAGTCACGAGTCCAAGTCCAAATTCGAGCTTCTGTAGAATCTAGTGATTCTAGTAAAAGGAAACTTGAACTTTAGCAACGGAAGTCAGAACAGGCTGAAAAACTTTTGAAGGAAAATTTTAGCAGTTCGCATGAAATTGATAAAGACGTATGCGACTTATCAATCTATTTAGAGCATGTTTTGTTTGTACCTACATTAACACATTCAGACATGATTTACCTTTCACACCTCCCATATTACAACTTTGGTATCGATAGAGGAGATACAGGAACGACTAATATGTCTTGGTGAGGCTTTCTGACTTTTGAATCATATTTAATATTATAGTTTGATAACTGTGATGGCCAAAACAAAACTCTTCGTTGACAAAGGAGTAATTCTTTTTCTTTTTCTGATTAGTGGGCACAGTTTTATTCCTTGAGACAACGATTTCGAACTAACAGGAAAGAAATGAATGTCTTAATTCGTTACGACATTATCAGAAATAGTTACAAGAAATAATTATCAATTGCCCTGATGTCTTGTTGCACATAGGAATCTCTTAAATATTTTCATCTATTTATATTCTGCGCTTCTGCTATCCTCCTCCTTCTCAGTTCGTTATTCTTCGCATACATTTAGTAACTTAATGATGTTTTTGCGTCAGTTTTCTTAATAGTCCACACTTCAGACGCATTTATTGCAAAGGGAATATCAGCGCACATGCAAGGCATAGTTTCGTGGCTTTTGTTATGTCGGTGATTTTCCAGATTTTCGTCAGTTTTACTTTTGCAGATCTAGCCATTGATAGTGGTCGTCTTATTTCTTCTTCACTTCCGCCATTCAATTGGTCGTAATGCTTTTGAGGTTGCCAATGTTATAATAAGCTCGATAATGTCTTTTACTTTATTTTCAACGATCTTCTCCATTTCTTAGTCTATTTTCAAGCTTATTCCAAACATTGATCTCTCCATTTTACTTTCCTTGTCAAAGTTTAAGTTCCTACATCGTATGCGAGGACTAGCTGTGTAAAAACTTTCCCTTTTAAATGGATTGGGACATTTGTTTTAAACACGTCTCTCATTTTTCCGAATGCAGCTTAACGTCAACTTACTTTTCGGAATATCTCAGATATTTGATTGTCTCGCGTTAATCTTATTTCGTGGCCCAAATACCTATACCTTTTTACAACTATTCTGGGCGATTTTTCGATTATTATTATTCATTGGGAACGAGATCTTTTTTGTTTTTCCATATTTTATGCTTTAATAGACTTTGTGGTACTTACTGTAGTTTTAGCATAACTCTGGCTTCTCATGTCAAGTTTGCTTGTTCAAGTCATGTATTACGAGAACAATGTCTTCAGCATATCGGAGATGATTTCATTTCTGTCCATCGATGTTAATAGCCTTTGAGCCCAACTCTAATTGTTTAAATGTGTACTTTATGACTGGTATAAACAGTTTTGGAGACAAAGTGCTTGCCTCTCCATTAATTTTTATCTCCTTAGTTATACAATGAAGGTTTACAGTTGTTGTGTAATACCTTGGTCTGTTTCGCTTTCTGATAGTGCTTTGAAGATAGCGACTGGTTCTACGTGTTAAATGGTATGGAAAAATCAATGAAAATCAGAATCTGTGTCCATTATATTCCCTAGACTTTTGGACTAGAGTTTCGAGACACTGCAGATGGTCATTTGTTCAGTGGCCTGATCGAAACCGTGGATGTTTTTCTGACTGGTAGAAATCAACTTTGACTTAAAATCTTTACCAGTATTTTAATTTACCAGTATTCTAGTAAACAGCCTGTATAGGTGGTTGAGTAAGCTAATGGACCTATAGTTTTCAAGATCTAATGTATCTCCTTTTTTATGAAGGAGGATTGTAACCCCTTTTTAATTTATTGGGGATGATTTCGTTATGCAGACAGATGAAAAATGTTTGAATTTTTGACATCAAAAGTGAACCTCCTAGTTTAATTGTCTTAATGACTACACCATCTTTCCCCGGAGCTATATTTTTCATATTTTTAAAAGCATGTTGAATGTCCTCCTGTTATATATGTGGTATATTCGATTCTACATTATGTACTTTTTATATTGACTATTTGAAAAACTCTGGAATTACTTAACATTAGAATGACTTAGGTGACCCAAATGACTCGAAATGTAATTTGGGAAGTTAGCCCCAAATGAGGATAAAGAAAATGAAGATGAATAGTGTAATTAATAATACACTTGTTTACAGAAAGACAAAACAAACCTAATTATTAAAAACTTTACTTACGAGGGTGGCTTTCCTATTAGTTTTAATCCAGCATCACATATAAATGCTAAACAAGTGTGTAATAGGAACGTTAACAGTACGTAGTTGTAATAGCATGATGTATTAAATTGCATCGGTAAATTTATCATCTTAACCGAAGGTATTTCTCGAGTTTCAGTGTGTATAGCACCTAACCATTCGTCTGGAACAAAAAAACATTTAAATATTTACATACAAAAAAAATTCTCCTTCATTTGGGAATTTAGTTAAGGAATTTTCTAAGAAAATTAAATAATACTTGACACTTCTTAATAACTAAATTATATCCTATATCTTAATTTTATTCGAAATCGTAAATTCCTTTTCCCTAGCCGAGATATAATTTGACGCTGATGACAAACAAACTTTTCCATGTGTGACCGACGTCCGCATGAGCTGGTCGTAGAGTGGGTTCAATTTGCGGTAACTTGCTTCTAACCGTGCTTCACAAAAGACAAAACTATCCTCGCATTTCGCCGGCGTATACTGGGCCTCAACTGGGTTCAATATGCGCCGGGCCTTAGACTTGTGACTAGACGTGTAGTTTAGTGTCTAAAGCTGACCTACCCTTTTCTGCTAAAGTAACAATGTATAAGCTCCTGTCAGAAATTATGAAAGAAGGTTTTGCTCAATCGGCTCAATGTGTAAGTTAATGGAAAGAGAAGATGTGATACACTTTTTGGGGAAATGCTCAGACATATTAGGTTAAAGGGGTTGGGTAGAAATAAACAAGGAAAAATGAGATGGGGGCGGGCTGAATTAGCCGGTTATTAGAGGTATTCACCTGCCCTGGTGAAGGTCAGCAGCGATCATCAGTACCAGTTCAAGGCGTAGAGGAAATGATCCTGGACCGGCTTGAAACTGGATTACCATAAGCATGACTGGAACAGTTTAAATGGTTGTGGTACTGCGATGGGGAAGCCAACTGGAAAACTATCCCATTATATTATCCACAAATTTAAATGGCAGACGAGAAAAAGAAAATGGCCCTCAGTCCGGGACACCCCTTAAATGGGGAGAGGGTGCGAAGAATCCCCCCGTCAATTACCCAAGAAAGTGGACAGAGAATACAAATATACGACCGAATAGTACGCATTGCCACCTGGAACGTACGCAGCTTATTTATGTCCGGGAAACTGGCAAAAACTGAAGCCGAGATGATGAGACTGAAAATAGATATCTTCGGGATGAGTGAAATAAAACCTCACCAACTACAGGGGGTTATGTAAGATGCCCCCATTTTCAGTTTTTAGTAATCTACAAATCAACAGTCTATTGCATTTACCTTCATAAACACCTTGAGGATAGTTTTTTAATACGGAGTTCTCTACTATTTTTTCATGTGGCCATACAATGTTTTTTTGACAACTTTTTATGTAAGTAGTAAAAACCAACGTGTTCTTTTTATATATTTAAATTTTAACTTACTTGTTTTTAATATTTAAATGAGTTTATTCCGAGAAGATCTTCTTTAAAATAAAAGCTTTAAGCTTTTAATAAGCATTTTTTATACCTTAATACACACGACCACCACGTGCTGAAATAAGATGGAATAGTTCAGGAGTACAAAAAACAAAACATGGTTACATATATTATTCAGGTGGAACTGACCCAGAACATCGATATGGAACTGCTATATTAGTGTCGAACAAAATTGCTGAATCAGTCTCAGACTTCATCCCTCTAAATGATAGAGTAGCAATGTTGAAATTACAAACAACTCACAGAAAACTAAATATTATTCAGGTCTATGCTCCAACAAGTGACAAGTCAGACGAAGAAATCGAAAAATGTTATTATAACAACATAGATGAAATAGGAGCATACGGTCTAGGTATCAGAAATAATAGAGGAGATAGACTTGTACAATTCTGCGTAGAAAACAATCTGTTAATAGCCAATACCTTCTTCAAAAAATATCCTAGAAGGCTATACACATGGAAATAACCTGCAGATAGAAAAGACAAAATTGTTAGAATTCAAATTGACTTCATTTTGCTCAATAACACATTTAAGAAGTACATACAATCTACGAAAACATACCCTGGAGCTGATATACTTAGCGATCACAATCCAGTTATAATGGATTTTAGATTAAAAAGATTTCTCAAAGTCAAATAGAAAACAGTGACAAGAAAAATAGACATCTCGCAACTGAAAAACCCTGAACAGAAAAAAGAAATAAGTATCAAGCTTCCTCAAGAGGAAGAAATAAAAACGATCGAAAACTTGGTACAGACAGACATTAAAGTAACATGGACTGCTCTAAAAACAAAAATACAAGAAGAAGACATCGGGTACATAAAACACAACAAAAAACAAAAATGGATAATGCAAGAGATCATGGACCTCATCGACGTAAGACGAAACATAAAACAAGCCCAATAGAATACAAGCGAATCAATAATATCGTTAGAAAAAAGTGCAGGGAGGCGAAAAAAAACTGGATGTCAACAAAATGCCTAGAAATCAAACAACTTCAAGAAAAATACGACACCTTTAATATTTACAAAAAAGTAAAAGAAATGACAGGTAGATACAAAAAGAGACAAGCAACAATATTAAAAAATAAAAATAACGAAATAATTATGGGTACAGAAGACAAACTAAAGAGATGGAAAGTATACATACAAACTCTTTTTGATGACGATAGACCTTGTTCTTCACCATCCACAGATAATCGAATAAATGAAAAAGGCACAGAAATAACCAAAGAAGAAGTAAATCACGCAGTAAAATCTCAGAAAGATGGAAAAGCCACCGGTCCAGATAATAGCAATGTCGAAATACTAAAACTAATTGCAGATAACGAAAGTAATAGCCTAGACTTAATAACAGCACTATTCAATAAGATATATGACACAGGTAAAATACCAACAGACTGACTAAAATCAACATTCATAGCATTACCAAAAAGATCGAATTCCTCACAATGCGATGATTATCGAATATTAAGCTTGATGTCTCATGTCCTTAAAACTTTTCTCAGAATTATACATACACGAATTTACAAGAAGTGCGAGTTTCAGATGAGTGACACTCAATTCGAATTAAGAAACGGATTGGGAACACGAGAGGCTCTGTTTGCTTTAAATGTGTTAAAGCAACAATGCAAAGACATGAATGTAGATGTATATACATGTTTTATTGATTATCGAAAAGCATTTGACTGTGTTAACCATCAAAAGATGATCGAAATTCTGAAAACAACTGGAGTTGACGAACAAGACTTGCGAATTTTCTCAGAACTATACTGGCACCAAACGGTAACAATTGAAATAGAACACACAACATCCGAAGATATACAAATCCGACGACGAGTGAGACAGGGTTGCGTCTTATCACCCCTTCTGTTTAATTTATATTCGGAGTCTATATTCAGAGAAACATTAGATCAGGTCCAAGGCGGAGTTAAGATTAACGGAATCAGCATAAACAACATCAGATATGCTGATGATACTGTCGTAATAGCAAGCAACGCACAAGAACTACAAAATGTAATAAATGCGGTAGTTCACCACAGCGAAATGTTCGGCTTACATCTAAACAATTCCAAAACGAAAACTTTAGTATCTTCAAAGACACCAATAAACGTACATGTGTATGCCAATGTATATGCCAATGTGTATACATTTTCTCTCTTACTTTATGGCTGTGAAAGTTGGACAAGGCACTCTGAAATAGAAAAAAGAATAGATGCCTTTGAGATGTATATATACAGACGAATATTGAGAATTCCATGGGTACAAAGAGTTACTAATGTTGAGAATATGTAAACAAAAGAATTACTAAGAATAATCAAAGAGAGGAAAATGCAATACTTGGGTCATGTGTTGAAAGGCGAAAAATATGAATTACTTCAAGTTATACTGGAAGGAAAAGTACAGGGCAAAAGATCAGTAGGAAGACGCCAGAACTCATGGCTGAAAAACCCAAGGAGATGGTTCGACCGCTCATCCGCAGAAATCTTTCGCGCAGCAGTTTCCAAAACCACAATTGCCATTTGGATCGCCAACCTTCGAAAGAAGATGTCGCCATGAGAAGAAAAAGAGGTATGAGTTAGTGAGCATGTTTAATTACTAAAGCGATTATCATGATGGTAGTTCGATAGGATGAAAATATTAAAATTACCCACAATAATTTGTTTGCTTATTACTATTTTTATCTTTTTATCTGTTTGTGCTTATATCTTTTTGTTATTCTTACTATTATAAGTATCCAGGTTTAAGCCATATGGCTTTCACTCCCTCTAGGGGATAAATTCACTCATTTCATATAACTATTATTATTATACCTTATTTTATACCTTGTTATTATTGTTAATTATTATTATTAAGTATTATTAATTAGAATATTCTATTAACCAGGCGTTGGGTCCTGATGGCACGTTCCAAAGAGAATAAATGCCACTAAAAGAAAATATTTTTTTTTGAGAATGAGAAATAAAAGGCAATATTGATTGATTGATTGATAGATATATTGATTGATTGATTGATCTAGTTTTTTTAATCTAAACGCTATTCGTTACAAACAATTACAAACTGTTGTTCTAGTGTGGTTTACGTAAATCCTATCAACTGAAATATTTAGAACGCGAGAAAATACCAAGAAATCAACAGAACAACCAGAAAAATGGTAAGGAGAGCTAAGGAGATATGGATCCAAGAAAAATGTAAATTAATCGAGGAGTTTCAAATAAAATCCGACCATATAAGCATCTAAAGAAATATTCGAGAAGTCATTGGTCAATACAAGAGGAGATCCACAAACCTCCTCATGAACAAAGACAGAAACTTATCGACCACAGTTGAGGAGAAGATGGCAACCTATAAAGTGTGCATCGAAGAACTTTTCCAGAATAACCGAACAAAACCTCTAGAAATAAATTGCATAACCGACCCGTCAATACTAAAGAACAAGGTAGAAGTTGCTTTAGAAAAGTCTAGTAAAGCCACAAGTTCAGATAAAATACCAGCCGACCTTATAAATATGATAGGTGAAGTGAACACAAGGAGTTAAGTGACATGTTTAACGCCATCTACGATTCAAGTTACAATCCAGAGGAATGGCTGTTGTTAATGCCTTCCAGCTTATTATGAGTCACACACTATAAGATTTTTCTGAAAGTCATACATGCAAGGATTTACAAAAATTACGAAGAATATGTCGGAGAAGTGCAGTTTGAATTTCGCAATTCCATGGTACATCAAAAGCACTTAGCATATTACATCAGATGCGACGTCTACATTTACTTTATTAAGTAGGTCAAAGCGTTTGACCGTTGATAATATCACAAACAAAGAGTAGGAACAGTCGAGAAGTGAATTCAAGTAATCACGAATTTGCACTGAAACTTGCGTACACGTAAGCGTAAGTCAGAGTCGAAGGAAAGTTGACCGACCAGGTAAAGCTTATACGAGTTGTAAGGCAGGGCTGTGTGCTCTCGCCGACTCTATTCAATATATACTCTGAAGAAATTTTTACGGATGCCTTCAAAATCGTAGAGACGTAAATCCGAATTTTTGGAGAATAAATCAACAACCTCCGTTACGCCAATTGCAGAGTGATACAAGCAACTAGCCTAAATGATAAACTCCAGATTTATTATCAGCCGTGGAAATATAGATCCCGGGGCGCTAATGGGAGCGTAAAACTACTATAAGAAGTCGAAGCATGGGCACTGACGCAAGACACTCAAACAAAGATCTAAGCCTTCGAGGTGTGGATCCGCAGTAGAATATTGACAGTATCTAATGTGGAGCATATCGCCAACGTTAAAGTCCTTCAACCATGGACGTATAAACACAGATGGACTCAGTGATTTACATAAAATTGTGAAATCAAAATTATTTGAATAGGTCACATTCTCAGCACCTTCAACTGTTGTCACGTTTTTTTATTAAAATTTCTTATTCGCGAGTCACTGAAAATATTACTCCGTATTTTATACTCTACAGGTGCTATCAAACCAAAATAATAATTTATTGTTATATTAATATATTTAATTATAATCCAGATATCAAGTGTGCACATAGTGTGCATTATCATTTAATAATAGCGTATAATAGATATCAATCAATTATTTTATATGTAGAAGCACTGAAAACTATTTATAAATGGCAACGGTGTTTACATTTCTCTGTCTTATGGCCTACGTCAAACTTCAAATGCATGCTTGTTTACTTTTTACAGTAGATGAGGAAAAGTTGTTTTTCGATATTTTGGCTGTATTTTGAGTGATATTTGTGAAAAGTGAAATAAACATATTATAATAATAGTGCTACAGTTTTGCATTTGCAAAAAAACGAAATATTTACATCCCGATCCCTCATTTCATTTGTAAGTACTGTCTGTTTACATTATTTAAGATGAGGAACTGGCATACCATTGGGTTTATTCATGTCCATTAACGTATTAAAAATAAGATATGAGTTTATGAAATTAGTAGACATTTTTAAATTGTAAGTAGACATCATCTGATTAAAAAATATCTGTATAGTATCTTTTTAATTTAATATTTCTCATGGATACAAATAAATCAGTGAAATGAATAAAACTCATTAATTTTTTATGTAGGTTTCCAAATAATATTGACGATCGAACTATTTGGGTAGCAAATTTAGGAGAAAACATAAAGATTTTTTATTGTAGCATTATTTTGATACCTATTAAAAGATTAACTTGAATTCAACTATATTTTATTGTATTAATTTTAAAGCAAATAAAATTGTATTTAAATTTTTCTATAAAGACGTGATTTGTTAATAGTTAAACTCTCTTTTTTTTAATTCTTCGAACGTCATTTTATACATTATTACTACTTTCAATTTTTAAAATCTGAATAATTATCCCCGCGAGTAAAAATTCAAGCACGCTTATGCTCATTGAGGAAGCATCACATTCTATCGAAGCTTCAAAACATTATGTGTTAAAGGTATCTTATTGCTGTGTCCATCTGTGTTTATACGTCCATGCCTTCAACGCATGAGAAAAGAAAAAGAGGTACTTAACTTAGTGAAATAATGTAAGTTTATGTAATTCGCCCACGTAATACCCAACGACTATCAAATTGTTCAATTTATCACGCAGTTTATGTCATGCGTCTAGTATTTTGATTCGATTCAAGAATATTCGATTTTGATCTTTGGTATCCCGAATTATGGGTTTAAGGAAACAAATACAAAGATTTTCTTCTTCTTCTTCTTGATGTGCCTATCCGTGATGAATGTTGGCGATCATCATGGCAATCTTTATCTTATTTGCAGCAGCGCGGAAAAGCTGCACAGATGTTGTATTGAACCAGATTCTAAGGTTCTTTAACCAAGATGTTCTTCTTCTTCCTGGACTTCACTTTCCAAATATTTTTCCTTGTAGAATGGCTTAAAGGAGAGCATATCTGGATTCATTTTGCACAATATGTCCGAAGAATTGTAACTTTCGAGATTTAATGGTGGTCAGTACGTCTTGGTTCTAATTCATTCTTCTGAGGACCTCCCCATTTGTGACTCGGTCAATCCACGAGATCTTAAGTATTTTACGATATAGCCACATCTCAATTGCTTTCAATTTTTTGCACATATCTTCGTTCAAGGTCCACGATTCAACACCATAAAAAAGGACAGAGATGACGTAGCATCGCAGCATTCTTACATTTGTATCAAGAGAGAGATTGTGACTCTTGAAGAAAGCCCCCATCCGATTGAAGGTGGACCTAGCTTTTGTGATGAATGCTCTAATCTCCTGGTTGTTGGTCCATTCTTCATTTATTATGGTGCCGAGGTAGTTATAGTCCGTCACTCTTTCTACAGGATATTGGTTGACGTAGAGTTGACCTTCTGTTATCCTTTTCTTGCTAATTATCATAAGCTTTGTCTTCTCAACGTTTATATTGAGTCTATATTGTTGACTGTAGTATAAAGATTTTATGTGTTAATAATTATTTTAATTTAGGATAAATTAGAGGATGAATTAAAGGTTGGAATCGTAACTTCTTTTTTTCTATTCTTCCCTTGGTTTGATCTAGATGAGGTAATGCATAATTGCCACAAGGAATTAATTATTAATAATACTATATATCTAATACGTAATCATTACGTTTAATATCAACTTACCAATTGTAATAGGTTTTTCTTGAGAACTGATGCAATGATAAATGGAAACTCCAATGGAATTGATATCACCTCTTTTAAGTCGGTTCCTGAAAAAAGTAAGTGTAGTAGCAAAAAATTATATATTATTTTACATAAATTCGTTGAAACTTAGTATGCAACTAATCACGCTTTGATGTTAAGGAGTTTTTGCTTTTTCCATATCATTTGAACCAGCATATGGGGTAATACGATTTATGTGGACAATTTCTGGTTTTTCTCTTTTTTATTTCCTAAGATCCTTTTTTTCTTTTCGTCATTTCTTGATATCAGTTTTATAAGCCAGTCCTCGAGGTTGTTGTGAATTATATAGCCAGACAAGATCACCTATGTCGAAGCTTTCATTCATCATCATCATCATCAATGGCGCTACAACTCTTCGTGAGTCTTTGTCGCGTTTATTATTGCATTCCATGTTTGTTGGTCCTGTGCCAGTAATTCCCATTGTCGCACTCCTATCTTCTCTAGATCTTCTCTGACTGCATCTTTTCACCTTTTTCTAGGCCGCCCTACAGACCTTCTTCCATCTGGCCTTTCCCAGAACACATTGTTCATAAGGCTATTGTCGTTACTGCGTATCACATGTCCTGTCCATCTGAGTCTATTGGCCTTTATATATCTGACTAGATTTTCTTTTCCGAATAGAGACTCTAGCTCGTTATTGTATCTGTCCCTCCATTCGTTTGTCACGCTGTCTCTGCAAGGGCCATATATCATTCGAAGAATTTTACGTTCCCATACCAGCAATTTATTTACTTCTCTTTTTGTTATCGTCCATGTCTCGCTTTCATACGCGACTGTTGGTCGTATTATGGTCTTATATATCCGGATCTTGGCACCTCGTGAAAGCAGTTTCGACTTCATCAGATGTTGCATTGCAAAGAAAGATCTATTTCCTGCCATTATTCTCGTTTCAACTTCTCGCTCTAATTTGTTGTCATTTGTGATTGTTGCTCCTAGATATTTAAATTCTTTAACCACTTCGAAGTTGTGATCATTTATGGTAATGTTTTGCCTTATTCGCCGTCGTTCTTGTTTTGAGACGACCATGTATTTTGTTTTGTCTTTATTTATTTTTAGACCGATGTTTAATGCAGCTTCTTCAAAGCTCGAGAAGATATCCTTAATTTCTAATGCTGATTGTGCTACTGCGCCTACGTCATCGGCAAAGGCTAGTATGATTTTTGCTCCCCGAGCAGTTATGTCTGGTTTGATTTTTGGATATATTTTTCGCATGACAAATTCTAAGGCCAGGTTAAACAACAATGGGGACAACTGATCTCCCTGTCTCAGTCCAGAATTTACGCAGAAAGCATTTGATATTTTTCCCCCTATTCTAACTTGTGCAAAAGAGTTACTTACACACATTTGTATTACCGCAGCTAGTTTCTTGGGTATGCCGAGCTCGATCATTGCCTTCCATAATGTTGCACGATTAATTGAATCATAAGCCTCTTTGAAGTCTATAAAAATCTGATGCACGTCGTGATTATATCCCCAATACTTTTCAAGCATTTGTCTTTTTGTAAATATTTGATCAATAGTCGATCTGCCAGGCCTGAAACCACACTGGTAGTCATTAACTATTTCTTCGGCGTATGGTACTAATCTTTTTAATAATATCGAAGCCAATATTTTATATGTAGTGTTGATTAGTGAGATTCCTCTATAATTCATGCATGACTCCTTTTTTCCTTTCTTGTTCTTCTTCTTCACGTGCCATCTCCGCTACGAAGGTTGGCTATCATCATGGCAATTTTGACCCTGGAGGCTGCCGCTCGGAACAATTGTATGGAAGTGCAAGCAAACCACTCCCTGAGGTTTCTCAACCACGACATTCTTCTCCTACCTATGCTGCGCCTACCTTCAATCTTTCCTTGCATAATTAGTTGTAACAGTTGATATTTATTCCCACGTGTAATATGTCCCAGGTATTGTAGTTTCCTCATTTTAACACTCAATACGACCTCCTTTTGTTTGTTCATCCTGTCTAATACAACTTGGTTAGTTATCTTATCCTTCCAGGAGATTTTTAACATTCTTCGGTACGCCCACATCTCAAATGCCTCCAGCTTACTCATACATTGCTTATTTAGTGTCCACGCCTCCACCCCATACAACAGGACCGAGAAAACATAACATTTAAGCATTCGTATTTTCAGCTTTAGGCTTAGGTTACGGCTACACATTTGTTTCATATTGTTAAAGGCACTGCGGGCTTTCTCTATTCTAATTCTTATTTCTCTGGTGTATTCGTTTGACTCGTTAATATTTGTTCCGAGGTAATTGTAATTTTGTACTCGTTCAATGCGATTCTGTCCTACATGTAAGTTGATATTATTGATACGTTTCTTTGTAATTATCATGAATTTGGTCTTCTTTGTATTCAGTGACAGACCAAATTCTTCACTTGCTTCTACCACTTTGTTTAGTAATCTCTGTAGGTCTTCAATATTTTCTGCTATGAGCGCGGTATCATCAGCATATCGGATATTGCAAATGGGGTGACCGTTGATCTTTATTCCGGCTTTTTCGTTCATAAGAGCTTTTTTAATAACTTCTTCCTTTCTTGTGTATTGGTACAATAATACTACCACACCATTCTTTCGGCAGTATTTCTTGTTGCCAGGCCATTTCTATTAATTGATGGATTTTATTTATGAGTTCATAACCGCCTGTTTTAATTAGCTCGGCATCAATATTGTCCAGACCAGGGGATTTATCGTTCTTAAGCGTTTTTATGGCATGTGTAATTTCATCCATGCTTGGTGGGGGTATTTCTAATTCAACGGTTTGATACTCATGTTCTCCGTTGTTTCCATCATTTTCATTGTTTTCATCAGTGAAATTTTGGATATTTAGGAGCTCTTCAAAATATTCAATCCATCTTTCTATTATTTTGTTTTCGGCAGCCAGCGTTTCTCCATTTTTATCTCTTACAAAGTTGGGTGTGCTTACATACGAGCCTCTCTTATGTTGTCTTACCTCTCTGTAGAAATTTTTACTTTGATTTCGTCTGTGTTCTCCTTCTACTTTTTCGATTTGTTGCTGCAGATATTGTCTCTTTTTCTGTCTAAGTGTTCTTCTAGCTGCGGCTCTTTCCCTGTGGAATCATATACGTTTTTCTTCTGATGGATTAGACAGATAATCAATTCTTCTTTTGTTTGCTTCTTTTAGAGTTCTTTCTAGATTTTTCTTTTTTGTATTTTTCGTTCTTCCGATAGATTTCTCTGCAGGTTCTGTAATAGTTGTTTTTATTGAGTTCCATCGCTGATCTATATCTTCACTTTCATTTTCATTTATTTCCAAAACCTGAAACCTATTTCTTAATTTTACTTGGTACTGTCTTTGATTATTTTCTTCTTTCAGCTTCGCCACATTCCATCGTTCGATCTTTGTGTGTTTATCTATTGTTTGTGTTGAAAATCTTATTCTGAGCTTGGCCTTTACGAGAAAATGGTCTGTGACGCTGTCCGGCCCTCTCATAGTTCTTACACTTTCAAGTCACACATAGTCAAGCTTTCATTCGTTGATCAAAAATTATATTGAGCTTTTATCCTATCACTGGTTATCTGGATATATTATCGAGAATGTTGTTGATCCTTAACTTCATTTGTATTGACTTACGAATTATTCTTCGCCTGTCAAGTTTTAGTTTTAAGTTTTGCTACCAAACTCAAGGTTATTCAGCAAACGTCATCATCATCAGTTGGTGCTACAGCTCTTCGTGAGCTCACGTGTGCCTCAAAACATTCTCTCATTCTTCCTTATCGAGTGTCTGTCTTGTTCATCCCCTTACTCCAATCTCTCCTGCACATCATACCTAGCACATCATACCTGGCAGACGTACAACATCAAATAAGTGGGAGTATGGCCAGTAGTTTCATTAACAGCCGATCAGTAGGCCTTTAGGAACAAAAAAATGTAGCAGTCCCAATATTTTTGATATTCAGATATAACTGTAGACAACAGATGTTGACACATTATTAGATTGATTCTCTTGATTATTTATCTGACTCAGGATGGAGGGTCTCATTTTATTTTCTTCCCTATGTTTTTGTAATCGCTTTAGCTATCTTGTCATTTGTAGAAGCCACATTAGCTTTCAAAGCTGTTTAGAAGAGCTTCATGAACAGCTCGAACATCTTTTGATCACATTTATGTATTTGAGAAATTGTTCATGAGCCTTCACCATATCCAGAAGATCTCTTCTGGTAAAGTAGTAGTTTTTTTTCTAGTTTGGACAAGACTTTGATGAAGTATGCAATGATTTTCGTTTATCCGTATTGACTCGGAACAGAACAACTCCTATGGCAGTGCACATTATCCTTCTTGCCTTACGTAACCGTTGTCTAAACCTGAAGATAATATGTAATTAATATATATATCGTCAAAAACTTTAATTAAACTGATTATTTTAGATGCATTTGCTTTTAATTTCGTCACCATATAGATTATTATACCATATTCACAATTTCTCTATTCGCGGCATATTTATGGGACACGTATCCCGCGAACGAAGAGCTTCTACTGTATATGCTAAATTTCTTAATAAAATGCAAAAATTTATACTTTTCTGATATTAATTACTTAGTGTAATACTTACTTTTGTAATCCCGTATACCATCCAGCAGCTATACTAAGATTTACCACGTAGTCAACGGGAACAGCATCTAATACTCCACTTTTGTAATAATTTACCTTATTCACGCCCATCGCGTATTTTACTGTATCGCCATACAAACCATTAACATTTTCTACATAGCCAGTAACAGGTTCAGATTCCGCTGGTAACACTGTAAAAAATTATATTATAGTCGGGACAATAGGTATATGCCTAATATATGCAGTGTGTAAACCATGTGTGTATAAATCATCGAGCAAAAAGACAAAAGAGGGAATGTAAAGGTAGTGGAAACAAAAATATTGTTAGACAGGAAGTGCTATCTTGAGAGGCCACTTTAAACAAGGAAAGACAGTCTCTTTCCTTGTTTAAGAAATCAAATTTAGTTTGGTTATGTTATTGTTTGTCCGGTTTGTCCCAACTGTCACATATAATTTTATTTATATTTAAGTTTTTTGCCAATTGTATCACTTTTTTGACTGTTATCGTTAAGATTTAATTAAAACTTTCCCGTCTGAAAAATATTTTATAGCTATTGTTAATAAGTGTCGGAAAATTTAAATTTAGCGCCTTTGCATTTCCGGATATGTCGGCCATCAGAGGCCACTTTTTTGGTCTCCTTTTCATAACGATTAGATTCCCTCTTTTGTATTTTTGCTCGATGGTATAAATACAGAGCCATTGAAACATTTGTTTTTCTTCAAACGTCAAATAATGATGACATTACTTATCTAACTTGATCCTGTCAATGTTTGATGTCTCCGCCAGCAACAGTTTTTTTCCCATTTCTTTACGGCGGAGGGAAAAATGTTGTCATGGCAACAATATGAAACATGTCACAAAGCAACAATACAAATGTCATTAACAACAATTAAACATCATTTTTATTTATAGTAATATTAAAAGTACAATTAGTTAATGAGGCATTTTTAAAATTGAAACCGTGCAAAAATGTTTCCGACTCTTGATACGCATTGGTAATTGTTGATGATACTGATGGTCGAGAACAACTTTCAGCAATCATTCCCGATGTTGGCGGCTTGCGAACAACAATAAGCTGTCTTTAATAATTGCAAACAGCTGTCAAACAACTGTAACCAGGGAGACGCAAATCCCACCGACGACTTAATTATTTTAATTTCTAACATCTAGACGACTTTGATAGTTGTCACAGTTAATTTCGAGTAAAAATAGCGTATGAATTGTACTATTTATGGTTGAAAATTGCTACGTTTGAAGAAAAAATAGTATACTTTATTCGGCAAAGAAGCGACTTTTCTTGACTTGCCCTCTATTACGCGTCTCACTTCGTTCGGCGCGTAGTATCGGGCGCGTCAAGAAAAGTCGTGCTTCTCCGCCTCATAAAGTAATATACTATTTTCTTCAAACGTCAAATAATGATGACATTACTTATCTAACTTGATCCTGTCAAAGTTTGATGTCTCCGCCGGCAGCATTTTTTTTTTTTTTCATTTCTTTACGGCGCGGCGGAGGGAAAAATGTTGTCATGGCAACAATATGAAACATGTCACAAAGCAACAATACAAATGTCATTAACAACAATTAAACATTATTTTTATTTATAGTAATATTAAAAGTACAATTAGTTAATGAGGACTTTTCAAAATTGAAATCGTGCAAAAATTTTCCCGACTCTTGATACGCATTGGTAATTGTTGATGATACTGATGGTCGAGAATAACTTTCAGCAATCATTCCCGATGTTGGCGAATCATGAGGGTTTAAAATTTTTTGAGCATTATCGTTTTTATTTCTTATTGAATCCTCTATATATCCTTCGGCAACCGTGCTTGATTTCCAGCCCCCATGTCGTTGCCTCTAGATTTCCGTCTCCATCAATTAAAAGTGTTGCTGAAGTTCGTCGTAAAGTGTGACCCGTGTATGCGCTTGCATCGTTTAAATTTAAATAACTAGCTACTTTTTGGACTACTGCGTTGATCGAATCAATTCCCATAACGCTTCGGTAACACTCTCCATTTTGGTCCTTAATAAAAAATCGGTTTTCTGTGAAATTTTCAGGCCGCAGTGATGCATACTTTTTATACAGTTTAATGTAGTTTTGACCAATTATCGTAAAAGATCTAATTTGTCGTGTTTTACTGTCTGGGATTTTGATAATTATTATATTTGCTTTATCCTCAATGTCCACAGTCTTCATTTTTACCATTTCATCGCATCGACAGGCGCCGGTAACCCCAATTAACAAAACAATCTGAAATATGTTTATAATTTAGTAGAGTATACTACATGCTTTGAAATATAATTTTTTTTACCTTTAATCCTAAATACAACTTATCTGGCGCTTCAAACAAAAATTTATCAAACTCGTCTTTAGTGAAAACGTTAGACTTCTTTGCAGTATATCCTTCGCTTTTTTTTTCAGAAAGGCACGTAACTTTAAAAATTTGCTTATATCCACATTTTTTCTAATAACTAACTCGGATTTTATCATAGAGTATCGTGACCACATTGTAGACGATTTCCATTTATTTTCATTTTCCATTATATTAAAATATGCCAGTAAAACGTCTTCGGTAACTTGCCGTACTCCTCTTGTATTGCACCACTCTTGGAAGTGCTTGTACGCTAACCGATACTTTATTCCGGACTTGGAGGGACCCAGACGTGCTACTGCATCATTAGCCGCGGACTCAATTTCGTTTAAGTTTTCGGCGTTCGGCGCGTAATATCGGGCGCGTCAAGAAAAGTCATGCTTCCCCGCCTCATAAAGTAATATACTATTATATAAAGAAACCTTGCAAAAATGTTCCCGACTCTTGATACGCATTGGTAATTGTTGATGATACTGATGATCGAGAACAACTTTCAGCAATCATTCTCGATGTTGGCGGCTTGCAAACAACAATAAGCTGTCTTTAATAATTGCAAACAACTGTCAAACAACTGTAACCAGGGAGACGCAAATCCCACCGACGACTTAATTATTTTAATTTCTAACATCTAGACGACTTTGATAGTAGTCACAGTTAATTTCGAGTAAAAATAGCGTATGAATTGTACTATTTGTGGTTGAAAATTGCTACGTTTGAAGAAAAAATAGTATACTTTATTCGGCAAAGAAGCGACTTTTCTTGACTTGACCTCTATTACGCGCCTCACTACGTTCGGCGCGTAATATCGGCCGCGTCAAGAAAAGTCATGCTTCTCCGCCTCATAAAGTATTATACTATTACTTTGTTTTGCTGTCTTTAAAACAAACATTTTAAGACAGCAAAAAAGATCATCTTAATGGTCTATTTTATGCATTTTAAAAACTTCTGAATTATGCGGAAATCCTGCATAATGAACGTTAATAACACTAACCACTGCATGTTTTAGTGCCAATTTCATCAAGAAGCCATACGATTATTATTCAAGTCATCTCCCAACAAAAAATTATACTGCCGCAGAATGGTGTTTTTCTCCTCTATTTAAGTAGTTGAAACCTAATTATTAGATATATTTTATCTACATACCAAAAGGAAAATTTAAACTTCCTTTTCCAAACAGTTATTGTGTGAATGCGAAATGATAAAACTTTAGTTGTAAAATTTCCTACTGTCTCTCTTTTTATGTTATTTGTCTTTCATTTCCTGTATTGTTTGTTAAAAAAAAGTTGTTGTGAAGGGTACATTCGAGTAAAGCCTGTGTCTTAAGTTTCACTATCCATTTTGGATAAGGATAAGAATACTTTATTACGACTAGGATTAAACATGAAGCCCCCGTTTAGGATCCTGTGATCTTCTCCAGGTTTACTTTGGATGTTTGTTGGTTAGCACAGTACAAGGCAAAACAGCTTCTAAAAAGGCACTGGGGCAAGTTGTCGTAGGCGTGTGTTGTGAACCATCTTGGAGACTGTCAAGATTGAGTCGCCGAGTCGAATCAGATCTGAGAGGTTCTAACTGGATAATATGTTCTTTCCAACTGTATCATCATCATCATCATCATTCCTCAACCTCTTGCATCCACTGTTGGATATAGGTATCCTCCATGTTCTTCCACTGTTCTTTATCTTGCGCCTTCTGTATCCAATTTCCGACTGTTTTTCTCAAGTCGTCCATCCATCTTTTTGGTGGTCTGCCTCGGTGTCTTTTGTCTTCCCTAGGTCTCCATTCTATGAGTCTTTTGAGAGGACTATAGTGACATCTGTCACTTTAGTCCTCTCTCTCACTATCCTATTACACTATGTATGTATTTCACTCATCCTTTCCAACTGTATGTATGTATATATTTTTCATTTATTTTTTCAAGAAAATTTGTTTAAAATATACTTTTTCAAAACTTTATAGTGACTCCACTAATAACAAGACTTGTAATTAAATATTTTACAACCGAATCTAATTGTGATTTTTTCGATGGCTTCATAAAATAATAATAAAATAAAACAGAAGAAATAAGATACATACGTAAGGAGGGGCGTACAATACAAACAGGGAGTCCCTTCGATTCCCTTCTAATAAAGTCTTCTGCTATATTTAAAGTTGCAGGGTAAGCATTAGGCCATTCTTCCGATAGTCTAAAATTAAAGAATCAAACTATGTATTAACTATAAGTAAACCATTATTTTAAAGTCTATTTACATATAGTGCATATTTGCTAATTCTAATTATTATTGACAAAACTGCACGCGCTTTGATTTACTAAAAGCGATAAATCTGTACATTTGTAATTTAGATACATATGCTCAAAAGGGTTGTTGCTCACAAACATAGGGTACAAACCAACAAATTAAACACAACAACATTAGCCAAATATTCTCTAGAAAATAGCCATTCTTTTGATTTTGAAACTGTACAGATTTTGGAAAAAGAACAAAACTACAATAAAAGATGCATATTGGAGTTTAGAATTTAGAAGTTCTCTCTCAGTACCCATTCTTCTTAACACCTTGTTGTTGGTCACATGCTCTGTCCAAGAGATCTTCAGCATCCTTCGAAAAACCCACATCTCAAAGGCTTCTATACGCCTCATACTTCGTAATTCCGAGAGTCCGTGTTTCCACTCCGTATAGCAATATGGAATAAATAAACGTTTTTACAAATTGGTATCGGATATCCAACGATAACGTAGAGTTTATTAGGAATTTTTTCATTCGTTGAAATGCGGACCTAGCATATTCTATACGAGCACGTATTTCGATCTCGTGGTCAAGATCGTTTGTTCTCCAGCAAACAAGATAATGGAATCTTTATACTGGTTTTATATGTTTGTTATAGATACTAATATTACTGTGGACATTTGGTGCACGTGTAACAGCCATTACTTTTGTTTTATTTGTATTTATATTTAGTCCCAAGCTATCTTCCTCTCCTCTGGATATGGCATTCAAAAGTCGTTGTCAACCCTCAGCACTGTCCGCAATAATGACGATGTCGTCTGCGTATCTTAAGTTGTTTACGTATTCTCCGTTGATTTTTATTCCTTCTTCGATATTTTCGAGGGCATTTTGAAAGATCTTTTAGGAATATATATTAAATAACAGTGGTGAAAGTACACAGCCCTGACGAACTCTTCCTATTGGCAATTCTGCTGTCAGACGATTGTCTATTTTGATCGATGCCATTTGATCCCAATTTAGGTTTTGACAAATTTGGTAAAAAACAAATAGTTTTTTAATAAGTGCTACAGTGTTATGGTCTATACCATGTCTTAGGGTTTCTATGAGTTCTGTGTGTTTTACTCCATCAAACGCTTTTTCGTAGTCGATAAAACAGAGAAACACGTCTTTTCGCTGATCTCGGCATTTTTGTAGTAATATCTGGAGGCCCTTGTACCAAGCCTCATACGAAATCCAAATTGATTGTCGCTCAGATTTATTTCGTATTCTCTGTATATTCGTTGATGTAAAATTTTGAGTAAAATTTTCAGAAAATGACTCATCAGGCTAATCAATTTGAACTGCGAGTCTATTTGCTTTATTTTTCTTGGGTATAGGTATAAATGTCGATCTAAACCAGTCTTCTGGGAAGATTCCAGTGGTATATATTTTTTTAAATAATAGTGTTAACATTTGAAGATTTTCTTCATTGATAAGCTTTATCATCTCTACGCATATTTCATCTGGAACTGAGGCTTTTCGTGGCTTTGCCGTATTGATTGTAACTTCCGATGTCAAGTATTATTTCTTGTACTATATTCATTTGTGGTTCTGTTCTATCATCATCAAACAGATCTTTGATGTATTTTTCCCACATATCTCCTACATTATCTGGACTAGATACTATTTGGTTGTTATCATCTACTAAAGGTGTTGTAGTGATTTTTTTCTTCATATTTGTGACTTCCTTAATCTTTTTGTGTGCATTAAAGTAGTCATGCTTTTTTAGTAAAACTCCACAGTTGCTGCTCATCCATTCTTCTTTGGCTTTCCTGATTTTGTTTCGGATAATTCTCTGGGTTTCTTTATATTTTTCTTCATTGCGATTTTTGTGAGATCACCTTATGTCCATTAGTTCTAGGACTTCGTCTGTCATCCATGTATTCTTTGTTTATCTGATGTCTTGTAGTTGTTCTCTTTGTATAGTTGTGATTGTTTTTTTGAAGGTGTGCCAAATACTTTCTATTGTTTCTTCTGCATCCGCGGGTGCTTCACTGAACTTTTCTGTGGGTGTATCATTAAGTGTTTTCTCTATTTCTGCCTGTACTATTGGATTTTTAAGTTTTTCGAGGCTAGGTTTTATCTTCTCTCTGTATTTGATTTTCTTCAGTTTAATTGAAATTTTACCAACAACAGGATTGTGGTCGGAACCGATGTACGCCCCGGAATATATTTTACTTCCCTGATTTCATTTCTATAATATTTGTCAATTAATATATAATCAATCTGGTTTCTTATTATGCGGTTTTGATTATCGCCAGGGGATTTCCATGTATATAATCTTCTTTTTGGTTGTTTAAACCAAGTGTTTGCAATCATTAGATTTTCTTCTTGGCAAAATTGGACCAGTATTTTTCCTTTATCATTTCTTTGGCCCAAATCAAAGTTTCCATCTATGTCTTCGGTCCGCCCTTCCCCTACTTTGGCATTAAAATCTAGTATAATAATGTTTACAACATTTTTCTGTGTGATCTTCATTAGCTGTTTGATCTCTTGGTAGAATTCTTGTACTTCTCTTTCTGGTTTTTCTGCTGTAGGAGCATATACTTGGATAAAGTTAATATTACGAGGAGTGGTAATAATTTGCAGCATAGCTACTCTATCAGATATAGGTGTAAAGTTTTTTATACATTTACTGCTTTTCTGGTCAACTATAAATGCCACCCTGTTATAATGATGATGATCGTCATTAACAGCCTAGTATATTACATGGTTATCGATTTTTGTCTGTCCAGATCTAGGTCATCTAACTTCACTGACTTCGAGAATGTTGACTCCCATTCTTTTCATTTCTCTCACGATGTTATAAGATTTTTCTGGCATAAAGAGAGATTTTGCATTCCAGGTTCCAATTTTTAACTTGTTATTTTTGTTTTTCACTTTCGTGTGGTTCCTAGCATTTGTCGTGGGGATTCTTAGCACCCTTTGACCATCTAAGGTCTGCCACTGACTAGGGGCCTTTTGTTTTCCGTAACTTGCCATAGTTATAATATCTTGAGAATATTCAGTGTATTGGTTTCTCCTTCCCTTACACACCGCAGTATTATAACCGATTAAACCAATATCCGATTGTCACCCATAAGTATCTGATTCCAAGCCTATTAAGAAGTCATTGTTTCCCAGCCTTGGAGTTAGTAATGACATAGCTGCTGCCCTAAACTATGTCCTCAGTTGATCCGCGGGTGCTTATTTGGCGAACATTATTCGCACCTATCCTGTATCCTATCTGCCATATGGGACGCGCCATGTCGGGGTTGAGGATTTCTCCGCCCAGTCTGTCTTCTACGAAGCTCTGAAGAATTCCTACTTAGTTCAGAACTCTTCCTTCCATAAAATATAATTATGTAATATAATGTTTATAAAATAAAGTGCTTATTGAAAATGGCAAATAGCCGACACGTTTAAGCAATAATTAAGTGTGTTTATTTATAACAGACAGACAAACACAGGAATTAAAAAAGTTTCTATTTAAAAATTCACTGTAATCACTATTTTCAAATACAAAACTTTCTCATATTTTTTAATGATACACCCTGTATAATAGTATTGTATTTTGTAGAAAATATTACAACCTTTCTTTTACTATCAGGTTTTACATACCTAGCTTGTTACGTTTTATAGATATTTAGAGAAGAACTATAAACTATGTTTTTGTTGATTTGTAGTTACTTAATTTTGTGTTCCTAGTGAAATAATATCACGAAACAAAAATTATAAATATTATAATATAATTTTATAAATATAAATCAAAACTCATAAATAAAAAACGTAATCTATTAAAAATTACTTGAATTTAAACTCTTTATGTTACAACAAAATGTTTACCTAATCGGTAAGATATATATATATATATATATATATATATATATATATATATATATATATATATATATATATATATTATTTGTAGTCTCAGCAATTGGTCTGTAACAGACCAATTGCTGAGACTACAAATAATATTTAACACAGTACGGTCGAGAATAATTTGATATATATATATATATATATATATATATATATATATATATATATATATAAATACATTATTAATTAGGTTTGTAAATGTTCAAAAAGTTGTCTAATATGTTCCAAGACACAGTCGTATACGGTTGATAAAGGAGCACCAAACACCCTATAGCATTTTTTAAGTTCCACCTCTGGTAAGTACATTTTGTATACGAATTTTCATTTTATCTTGTGTTATGGGTACGTCGTCTTATACTATATTCTAGATGTACCCAAAACAAAAATCTATACCACCATATCCAATGTAACAAGAAGATTCCTAAACTATTTAATATTAGGAAGCCGTTTAAAGGAATCCTCTTGATACTTGGAAAGAAAAGTTTTTCTTTCCTAAAAAATCTCAAAGGTAGATCTAGAAGGATATTTTCCCCAGATCACTTAAATACACAAACTTCAGATATCTGCGGCGTATTAAGCCAGGGGCGTTTAAGTAAATAACTTAAGATCATTTTTACATGCCAGTCAGGGGAGTATCAAATAAATTCTTATACATTTTTATATTTATAAATATTCGATACCTAAATGAAAAAGATCATGCTACACCGTTTGGAAAAACAAGGTCCAGTAACATAATATTATCCAACAATGCCTCCTCAAATATTCAACGATACCTACCTGATCTGGGTCATAACTCGAAATAAGTGAGTCTCTTCAAGTCTTCCTTTCCATTGTTTTTTATTGTACGCTACTTGTAGCCAATTTTTCCCGGCAGTCCTTTTCAGATATATATATATATATATATATATATATATATATAATATATATATATATATATATATATATATATATATACAAGGTGGTCCAGAATTATGTACATTAATTTCTAGAGCTCATAGTACGTTCAAAAATAAGGGTACTTCTTTATGTACACTTTTTTATAAAACTGAATAATA